TTCCTTTGTGAGCTCAGTTCTGAGAGCATCTCTCTCATATTCAACCTCTGCCAAACGAGTCTTCAGCCTCGCTATCTCAGCATCCTTTGCCCCACTCTCCTGCAATAGATCTCTGACCTTGCTATTGATAGGTGTCTTTTTAGATGAACCAGGTTCATTGGGAATGGCATTGACCTCATAATCACAAGCAATCAGAGTATTGATTCCAAAATGGTCTTTGCTTGTGGCCATCTCCCATTTCTTCAGTGGCACCTTACAACGAGCAAGACAGTAGTGAGATGAACCCATAAGGTNNACACACGAACTGCTTGCAAAAAGCCTTGCTATTTTGCTCTCAGTTCACGTTTAACTTATGTGTTTTTGTGCAACACTATAATGTGAGAACATCCTGCAATTTATAGAGTTAGTAGATGAAGAAATAACTAGAGTTCTGATGCAACTCTTCCTTGGTGGAAGAGTTCTAGTTGATTTCAACTTCTAGCTCCTTCCCTATCTTGGATAGTGTTCTCTTTGAGTAAGGAGTCCTTCTCCTTATCAATTATGCAACCTTTTTGATCAGGAGATATTAAATACACCAAGTTAAGCTTATCTCCTTCACGTGCATCCCACATGCTTGAATCTGCCCGTTTTTGTGCACATGAGGGATGGACCTGGTTCATGTCTGAGTTCCTTTGTCAGTCTTCAAAACTAACCTTTACTTGGGCCAACATGGCCCAATCGAATCTGCCTGGTTAAGACCAGGCCTATTTTGCCCCTTTGTCCTCACTCTTGGGCTCCATTTCGAGCCCAATGCCTACCAGCAATATTTTCTCTTAAAGACTCCTGTAGGTAATAAAATTGGTCTATTGTTGGCCCAGTTTTCTCAAATAATTAAGGTCCTAATTTCTCCTCTAATGCAAACTTATAATTAGTGGCCTTTTATAACTCCAAACTTAGTTTAAACATGAATATTCGTAGCTTGCTTTAGGCACGCTTAATATACCATCGTGGTTGTGTACACGTTTGCGTGACATAATTACGATCTTAAAAACTAAATCGGAGTATGCGTTCGCGCAACTTCGACCAAACTTTCTTAATAATAATAAAGCGTTATTAATTGTGAGCACGTATGTGACATGATTTTTGACGCGCCAAACAAATGGGTACACGTACGCATGCCCTGTTTTAAGATAATTTCCTAATTAAAAGAGGTGAATGCACATAGGTTCTAAAATAAGTAATTAGATAATTTAATTGAGCCATTTATGATTAAAGCAACCGTGCTAAAACCACGGAATCCGGTAATGCCTAACACCTTCTCCCGGGTTAACAGAATTCCTTACCCGAATTTATATGTTTTGCGGACTGTATAACAAAGTCAACTTCCTCAATTTGGGATTTTAAACCGGTGACTTGGGACACCATAAATTATCCCAAGTGGCGACTCTGAATTTGATAAATAATCCCGTTTGAATTGTCACTTAAATTGGAAAAAACTCCCTTATACCCCTTTTCGGGTAGAAAAAGGAGGTGTGACAGCTGCCCAATCACTGTCAGAATAAGCTGTGAGAGTACAATCAGGAGAGTTAGAATAGAAAAGCCCAACATCAATGGTACCCTTCAGGTACCTCAACATGTAAAAAGCAGCAGTCATATGAGGCAATTTGGGAGCTTGTAAAAACTGACTTAAATGTTGTACACCAAAACATAAATCAGGTCTAGTATGAGTCAAGAAGAGAACCAATTAGACTCCTTTACCTTTCAGGATGGGCAAATAACTCACCAAAGTCAGCCTTCAACTTGGAATTTAAATCCAAAGGAGAAACAACAGAAGACACTCCAAACAGTTATACTCTTTAAGTAAATCCAAAACAAATTTTCTCTGATTTAAGAATACACCATCAGGTGAAGTACTGACCTCAATCCCCAAGAAATAGTGCAAGAGACCCAAATCTTTTATCTTAAACTCATTATCCAAAAACTTCTTAAGAGCAGAAATTTCAACAAGATTGTTCCCTGTCAAGATTATATCATCTACATATACAGCAAGAATGACAATATCACCAGAAGACCCTTTGACAAATAGAGAGTAATCATTTAAGGAATGAGTGTACCCTCTTGAACATAAAGCTTGGGAAAACTTTGCATACCATTGCCTGGAAGCATGCCTCAAGCCATAGAGGAATTTCTTTAGCTTGCAAACCAAATGGGCAGATGAGAAAGAAGAGGAAATGGAAAGACCTTGAGGAAGCTTCATGTAAACCTCCTCATGTAGATCACCATGAAGGAAAGAATTGTTCACATCAAGCAGAAACAGAGACCAACCATGCTTAACAGCAACAACTATGAGACACTTAACAGTTGACAATTTTACAATAGGTGAAAAAGTTTTAGTGAAATTCACTCCTTCCACCTATGTGTCAGCCCTAATCAAAAGACAATCTTTATATCTCTCTACACTACCATCAGCTCTATACTTGATTTTATATACCCATTTACACCCAATATCCCAAGTATTATTGGCTTCTAGTGCCTCAAACTCCTTTCTCATTGCATCTTGCCATGCTGGAATAGGTGTTGCTTGGGAATAGGTGTAAGGTTCAGATTCAGCAGGTTGAATAGAAGAACAAGAAAAGGAGGCAGGGAGCTGACACTTATAGTCTTGTAGATATGATGGAAGATGGTGTGGTCTGTCAGATCTCCTTAAAGAAGGAGCAGGAGGTTCAAGAATAGGAGGAATCGTGTTAGGATTAAAAGTAGGTGAAGAAGTACTGGGAGAAGGAGGAGAATCAGAATTGGGAGAAGGAGGAGAATCAGAATTGGGAGAAGGTGGAGAAGCAGGAGTTGACAAAAAAGTAGAAGGTGCAGCTGGAGAAGTAGAGTTAGGATGAATATCATTATCAGAAGATAATGCAAGGGGATAGGATAAGGAAGGAGTGTTAGGAGCAACTTCATTAGTAGGCATAATAGGAGTAGGAACAGTAGTGTCATTAAAAGGATCCAAAGCAGGACTGGGAGGAAGAATAGAAACCGTGTGGCTGGAGATGTAGAAGTAGAAGATGTATCAAAGGGAAACACAAGCTCATGAAAGACAACATCTATGGAAATGAAAAATTTGTGAGTATCTAAACAATATAGCTTGTATCCCTTTTTGGCAAAAGGATATCCTAGAAATACACATTTCATGGCCCTTGGTTGGAGTTTATCCCTTTGTGGAATTGGGACAGTTGCATAGCACAAACAACTAAAAGATCTTAGATGAGAATAAGATGGGATTTTTCCATGTAATATTTCAAAAGGTGATTTGTTGTTGAGTAATTTGGAGGAATTCTATTGATGATGTAAGTGGCTGTTAATAAGCAATCACCCCAGAATTTGAGTGTTAGCTTGGACTGGAACAAAAGAGCTCTAGATGATTCAAGTAATGTGCTATGTTTTCTTTCCACCACACCATTGTGCTGGTGGTGTGTGAGGGCAGCTAGTTTGATGAATGATGCCATCATCAGAGAAGAACGAAATGGCTATGTGACTGGACCCAAGTTCTAATGCATTGTCACTTCTAATAGATTGAACAGTCATATTGAATTGGGTTTTGACCATGAGAACAAAAGCTTTGAGAAGAGAAAAAAAATTGCTTTTAGACCCCATTAGGTGAGTCCAAGTAGATCTACTAAAATCATCCACAATTGTTAGAAAATATCTACACCCAGAGTAAGTAGGGGTGTGATAGGTCCCCCAAGTGTCAACATGAATGAGTTGAAAAGGTTTATTGGTTTGAATACTACTGTCAGGGGAGGGCAATCTAGTTTGTCTAGCCATGGGACATACATTACAAGGAAAGCATTGTTTAGGAGAAACAAAAATAGCAAAAATAGTTTTCTTTCTCACAAAAGGAACATGTGCAAGTCTTTGGTGCCAAACAATATCCATGTCATTTTGAGCAGCTTTATTACAAGTGGAAATGGAAGTATTTACAAATGTTATATTTTGAACAGAAAGATCAGAAACTAAGCTGCAAAAATTGAAGTTTTCAGTAACAGAGTTCTGTGGGAGAGATGTTAAAGGAAACTCTGCCTTGTAGAGTCCATCATCCACTCTACCAGGCTCCAGAGGCTTCTTCAAAAAATGGGCCTGGATAAAACATCCAATATAAGTGAACATAACTATATAACGCAATTGTTGTACTAGTTTATTCACAGATATTAAGTTGTGATGAAAAGAAGGGACATAAAGGACATTGTGCAAAGTGATAGATTTATTTATAGAGTAAGATCCTATACTAGTGACCTTTACTTTATATCCATTTGGAACATATACAAGATAAGGGATAGTTAAATGAGTTATATTGAAAAGGACATCTTTATTTGAGGTCATGTGATTAGTGGCACCAGAATCAATTATCCAAATTAATTTTGTAGGACTGATGGTTTGTGTCAGCATGCAAGAACTAGAACCATACATTACAGAATCAGACAATAATATACCAACAAAATTGGCAGATGCTATGATATGAGGTGAAGTAACTGAATCAGACAGTTGAGATTGTTGGAGCAAATTCATTAACTGAGTGTACTCCTGCTGTGTTAGACCAGGTATTGCAGACATTTGACCCTCAGAACATACCATAACACCACGGTTGACGAGGAGTGAGACCAGATGAGTTTGGGTTGGAATCATTGGGGAATTCACTTTTTGTAGTCACATTGGCTGCAAATCTCTTGCCTTTGGTAAACTTGAAGTAGGAGGAAACCCATGAAGCTTGTAACACTTATCAACTTAGTGTTCGGGCTTCTTATAGTATTTGCAAAAAAAGATTACTCAGGTTCCCTTTACTTTGTCAAAATTAACCCTTTGAATATATTGTCTTTGAGGCTGAGCAAAAGGTGTTTTGTTGTTGAAGCCAGACACATTAAAAGATGCAGATTCAGAACTGAAATTTGAACCAGGATTTACTTGTCTTTGTTTTTCATCTTGTAACAGGATGTTATAGGTGTTATCAAGTGATGTAAGTGGTTGCATCATCAAAATGTTACTCCTAACCCAACATATATCCCATCCAAACCCATCAGAAATTGGTGGACTCTATCCTCTTCTTCCTCTTTCAGAAGTTCTGCTCTAATAGGACATGCACAAACATTTATTTTATTACTACGCATTACCCTCAATTCATCCCATAATTTTTTAAGTTTGGTTAAATAGGAAGCTATATCAAGAGCTCCTTGCATAGTGAAAGCAAGTTCTTTCTTTATCTCAAAAACCTTCGTCCCATTAACTGCACCATATCTTTTATTTAATTGTTCCCATATGGTCTCAACAGTTTCTGAATATTGAACACTCTCATCAATTTCTGGAGAAAGTGAACTGGCCAACCAAGATATGACCATATTATTACATCTGTTCCATTGTTTAATGTGTGGAGAATTTTCAACAGGTTTGGGGCAAGTACCATCTGCGAAACCAATTTTATTCTTAGCAGACAAAGACACAATTATACATATTTTCCACCCACCAAATCCAGTACCAGAGAAAGGTGTGTGGACTAAGGAAATCCCATGGATATTGGAGGGATGGAGGAATATTGGACTCGAAGAATCAACAGTTCCGTCAGTACTACCCATTGTTCACAATCCAAAATACACCAAAACACAAAATATCACAATAACAACCCTCAGAGTTTGAGGAGTAATCAACAGCTCTACTGTAAAGCACAATTTTGAGAAGAAACGATATTACCAGCCTCTTTTGCAACCGAAAAGAGTACGGCCTTGATAATCACGAGAGTCTCCAGAAAAACCAAGATTTGAAGGCATAGCTCGATTCAGCGTGACGAGATCAATCAGGATCCATGCTCTGATACCATGTGAACATCCTGATTCGAGTAAGAATTTGAGAACAAGGAGATTAGAGATCTGCGGAATATTCGAGAAGGAGAAGAAGAAGAAGAGATACAGTGTTTATGGCTGGAAAAACTGATTAGGCATTCAACCTTTTTCTATTTATATGTAGTCTATTTACATACAAGTCCCATTTACAAAAAGAGCCAAAACTAATCAAAGTACAAATGTGGCTATGTATAAAATAAAATAATGGCCAGTGGTCAGCCCAGATACTAAGTGATCCTAATTGGGCCTGAGGCTAGATAAGCAGATAGCCAACAGTTTCGTCAATATTCAATTTTACCGTCACTTGTTTCTCTTTTATTATGTGTAATTAAGGTTTTTCTGTTTTACGAACCACTTATATGATTTCTGTTTTTCACGACCCAAAATCCAACCAGTCATAATGACACCTAACCCAACTGTCACGACCCAAGTTCGCCCTCCCTGAACTGTCGTGACGACACCTAGTCTCTATGACTAGGTAGCCTAACAATTTACGGAAAAAAGAAATGACAGAAATAAACTATCCAACTGCAGAAATAATACAAAATCAAACTCTTTAAATGAACTACATTTCCCAAAACTCGGAATCTCATGAAATCACAAGCTATAGAATAACTGCAATGTTCTAACTCCAGAGTGTCTAACAAAAATAATTACAGAAAGCCTAATACTATGAGACATAAAAGGGATAATACCTCGAAGTCTCTGATGGATCACTCCGCCTCAAGGATAGTAGGGCTGAGTCGAAGTACCTGGATCTGCACATGAAAAACATGTGCAGGAAGGGCATGAGTACACCACAACGGTACTCTGTAAGTGCCAAGCCTAACCTCGATCGGGTAGTGACAAGGAAGGTCAGGGCCCTACTGAGATTAAAGGAAAATACAAGATATAACAGTGTAGACTAAGACAGTATAATTAAGTGCAACAGTAAAAGTAACACAGGGTAAAAGAACAATAGCAACTTTAACAGAGACATAGAATTCACGGAAATAAATACAGCTCAATGCAGATATAACAATCGGGGGATCTCACAGTATCCCGAGGATCTCTTGGTATCCTCAATATGTGTACGGGGGATCTCTCAATATCCCGAGGATCTCTTAGTATCCTAAATATATATGCTGGGGATCTCTCGGTATCCCAAGGATCTCTTAGTATCCTCAATATACGTGCTGGGGATCTCTCGGTATCCCGCACTACAGTCCAAATCAATACAGGTGCAGGGGATCTCCCAGAATATGAATCCGTAGTCCCAAAGTAAACAAGCAGGGGGATCTCCCAGGATACCGTCCCATAGTCCCAAAGTAAACACACAGTAGCAACACGAAAAACACTCAATTCAATTCTAATTTCATACCAAGGTAAAAACAGGTATTTCTAACCTAGCATGCCACACATGATCCAATTAAGGCAGTTTAAGCAAATAAGGCAATTAGACATGCTTCCCTAAGCTAATAGCAGGCTTAAATTACACACGGTATGAACAGGAAAAAGGAAATCACATTTATAGTTACTTAAAGAAAATAGATTTTCAACAATTAGCAAAAGTACGCACTCGTCACCTCGCGTATAAGGCATTTCAATTATCAACAAACCAAATCCTAAGGGGAGTTTCCCCCACACAAGGTTAGACAAGCCACTTACCTCGAACCGGCTCAAAATCAACCCGAAACCACGTTCTTGCCATGAGTATTCGACTCCAAATCGCCCAAATCTATTCAATTAAATTGCATAATGTAAATAACACTTCAAGTAACTGATTCTACAAATAAATTCTAAGCTAATACGTGAAATTAGGTAAAATGACCAAAATGCCCTCCGAGCCCACGTCTCGGAATTGGGTAAAATTTACATTTTCAAAATCCTCATACTCTCACAAGTCATACCATACCAAAATTATTCAAATCCAACGTCAAATTCCCAATCAAAACTCGAAATTTAGGTATAAGAACCTTCTTCAAATTTTTCCCCAATTTCCATCTCAAATCCGAAATTAAACGATAAAACTAACCATATATTAATGGAATACAACTAGAAAGGGATAAGGAATCGTTACCCAGTGATTTTCTTTTCAAAAATTGATAAGTTGGTAATTTACTAACTTATCTTGTCTTTAAGCCTATATTTTTGCTATGTTTGAGTGATAAAAGCACGTGTTTAATGCCATTTACTTTTATATTATAGGTTCTATGTGATTTAGAAGTGACGTTGAATAAACCAAGTGAAACAAGTCAAAAAGAAGCTAAAAGGAGGAAAATCTGGGCAATGCCCTCAGTTGTCGCAATTGCGACAAAATCCTGGGAATTGCGAAGCCTGCAGTCATGGTAATTGCGAGTAATCATGGGAATTGCGAACGAAGACCATTTAGACAGTCTTCGCAAATGCGAAGAAGACTTCGCAAATGCGAAGTCAACCCAAGCAGTCAACCTTCGCAAATGCGAAGTCAACCCAAGCAGTCAACATTCGCAAAAGCGAAGTCAACCCAAGCAGTCAACATTCGCAAATGCAAAGCATTTATCACAAATGCGAAGTGGAGCAGTATAGGCATAGTTCACAATTGCGAACTTATGTTCGCAAATGCGAAAATCAAGCATCAGACCTGGGCAATTCTGAAATTTCACATTTTTTGGCCCCTAACCATTTAATACCCGACTTAGCTCATCTTTGGCATAATCTTTTGCATGTTTTCAATTCCTAAGACGAGGGAGAACAAGTTTTGGAAGCTAGGGTTTGCACACACACTTGGGTTTTGAAGGTTTGAAGCTTGTGGTTAAGAATTCTTACCCATTTATGTTTATTTCTTCATTTCCTTGCTTTGTATTGTATATCTAAGTGTGTAGTATTTTATCCAACACTTGAATCTTGTTTATGGGAATATTCATATTTAAAGTGTGGATTAAATACCTTGTTGTGCTTATGTATTGAATGATTTTTATTCTTTTATGAAGTGAGTTATTGTTACTTTAATTATTCTTGTTCTTTAATGTTTCCAAAGGGATTAGCTAACCCTAGAACTCGCCCATTAACTCCGAATTAATTTTGGGAAAGATTATTTGGGGTTGGGAAAGATTAATTAACAAGAACTTGAGGCTTTAACCCTCATTTTATAGATTCTACCTAGGGATAGGATTGAACTACTTGTAGCCATATTCGGGTGTGCTTAATCTCTTAATTGTTTTAGGGATAATTCAATTAGGAAATCTTGTTAGTCTTTGGAAGAAGCTAATATAGAATTATTACCCATGGCTAATTAACATAAACTCGCTCATATTTGTAAAATCGTGATATACATTGGATGGTTACTTGAGTGTAATTCCTGATGCAACCATAGGCCATTAATCATTTTACTTGCTTTCTAGGTTAGTTTACATTTCCGCACATTTAGGTATAAATATTTTCTCAAATCAATTCTAAGTGTTTGGCATTGCATAACAAGTGATAATTCTCTTACATACCTAATCGCCTACATATTGTTCTCTGTGGGTTTCGACCCCGACTCATTGTTGGGTAAATTATATTGCATGTGACCGTGTCCATTTACTTTTTAGTAGTGGATTTGGATGTCATCAAAATTGGCGCCGTTGCCGGGGAACAATTTGGCGTAATTTAGGTTGTTTGAAAGCGTAAGTGCTTTGGTCCAAACTTGTGAATATTTGTGTAATTATTTTTCTTACCTTGGTCTATTTTTCTTGTTTATTTTCTTAGCTTTGAAAAATGGCATCATTTAATGAAAATTGATCGGATGGTAGTTGTTCATACTTTGATGACCCTTGTCCTTATTGTGGAGGACCACACTCGTGGCAAAATTGTTTAAATTCTCCCGGGGGTGGATTGTGCGCACAATCTCAAACCCATGAGTGGAGTATTTGTGATAAGTGTGGTCGTCAAAATGGTCATTGGGATGATTATGATTATTTGTCCTTCCCTTCCCCAAGCCCCCGCTATGATGATTCTACTTTTTGTGATGAAAATGATAGGGCTATGGAAGTGGAACAAATTGAGCATGGTCAAAATGGAGAGTTCAAGCTCATATTGGAATGCCTAATTGAAGGAGGACACAAAGAACAAAGTGCCTTGGAGGAGCTTTTGGAAAATAGTCTCCAAAATAACTTGGCACTTGAAAGGTTGCACTCGCAAATGGGAGAAATGCTTGAAGCTTTAGAGGTCCAAAAAGACATATATTTCAGTGGCAGTTGAAAATAATACAAGGCATATATTTCAAACTTTAGCAGTCAGGAGCCCGCCTGGAGAACAGAGGCATATATTTCAAGTTTTAGCAATCAGGCACCCACCTGGAGAACAAGGGAATATATTTCAAGTTTTAGCAGTCAGGAGCCCGCCTGGAGAACAGAGGCATCTATTTCAAGTTTTAGAAATCAGGAGCCCGCCTGGAGAACAGAGGCATATATTTCCAAGTGTTGAAGTCGGGAGTCCGCCCGTATAACAGAGGCATATATTTTCAAATTTTTGAAGTCGGGAGCCCGCCCGTATAACAGAGGCATATATTTTCAAGTGTTGAAGTCGGGAGCCCGCCTGTATAACAGAGGCAGATATTTTCAAGTTTGAAGTCGGAGCCCGCCCGTATAACAGAGGAATACATTTCAAGTTCATCAGTTCTGAAAGAAAGGAAAAACATATCAGTTCGCAATTCAAAGCGGCACCAATGGATTTCACCGAGAGGATACAAGACAACAAGGCAACCAGAAATACAAGGGCAAGTTTGAAGAATCTAG